TGGGGAAGCTTGGGGTTCTTAAGTTGAATCTGTATGTAAGAGAACTGGCGGTCAGTTTCAGCAGTGGCTGAATCTGGACACCAGTTCCGACTTACATACAGATTCAACTTAAGAACAAACCTACAGTCCCTATCTTGTACGTAACCCGGAGACTGCCTGTACTGCTACTAAAAAAAAAATCCATGCTATGCCCACATCTCTTGAAGACTCCATGCAGTTTTGGTTGTTCCATCTCCAAAAATATATATTTGATTTGGAAAAAGTACAGAGAAGGGTAATAAAAATGATTAAGAGTATGAAACAGGTTCTTAAGAACAAACCTACAGTCCCTATCTTGTACGTAACCCGGAGACTGCCTGTACTGCTACTAAAAAAAAAATCCATGCTATGCCCACATCTCTTGAAGACTCCATGCAGTTTTGGTTGTTCCATCTCCAAAAATATATATTTGATTTGGAAAAAGTACAGAGAAGGGTAATAAAAATGATTAAGAGTATGAAACAGGTTCTTTATAAGGAGAGATTTAAAAGACTGGGACTGCTTGGGAAAGAGACAACTAACGTGGGGATCTGATAAGTGTATAAAATCAAGACTGGGGTAGAAAAAATGGAGAGAAGTGTTATTTACCCTTTCACATAACACTAGAAGCCAGTGTCACCTGATTAAATTAATAGGCAGGAGGTTTTAAAAAACCAAAAAAGATACTTCTTCCTAAAACACTATCAGCCTGTGGGACTTATTGCCAGGAGATGTTCTGGCCTTCAAGAAAAAATTGGGTAAATTCATATATAGAGCCATCAGTGGCTGTTAGCCAGGATGGTTAACAACACAACCCCATGCTCCAGATGTCCCTAAGCTTCTTACTGCCAGAATCTGGGAGTGGATGACAAGGGCTGGATCATTTGATAAATTGCCCTGTTCTGCTCATTTCCTTCTGAGGTATCTGGCATCTGCCATTGTCAGAAGCAGGGCTGTTCCATAGAGAAGATGTGGGACCTGAAACAACCTCTCTACCCCACACCCATACCTCTTCCTATCCTTGTTCCACTCCTTCCCGCCCCCATTGCACCCTTTCCCAAAGCCCCCTTCCCTGAAATACATGACCTCTGGGATTCCTGGGAGGCTTGGCATGGGGCAGCAGCAGGGGTTGAGCCTCCTCTGCACTCAGTTACCCAGCAGCCTGTTCTGCTCCACCATCACCATTCAGCCAGGTTGCGACGCAGGTTGGGGGAACAGAGTGGAGCAGGCTCGGGCCAGAGCTGACATGCTCCACTTCCTGCCACTGCAGTGGAACCATCCTCATCTTGTCTAACCTCCTGTATTTTGCAGGACACAGAACCTCACCCCACTGTCATAACTACTTCTGTAATAGATCTGTAATCACTAGCTGAATTGCTAAAGTCCTCACATCTTGATTTAAAAACTTCAAGTTACAGAGAATCCACCATTTACTCTAATTCAAATCTGCAAATGTTTCATCACCAGTGCTGCAGAGGAAGGCAAAAGAAAACCCCAGGGTTTCTGCCAATCTGATCTTGGGAGAATTCCTTCCTAACCCCAAATATGGCAGTCATTTAGACACCGAACATAGAGACAATTTCCACAATCCAGACAGCTAGGAAAGAATTCTCTGTAGTAACTAAGAGCCCATCCAGTGTCTTGTCTAGCTGTTAGAAATATTTACTAATAGCACTTGCAGTTTGGTCATATATCATTGTAAGCAATCTCATCATACCATCCCCTCCATATAAATATTTCTAATAGCACTTGCAGTTTGGTCGTATAGCATTGTAAGCAATCTCATCATCACATCCCCTCCATAAAATTGCAAACTAAGTGTTGAAGTCAGTTAGGTTTTTGCCCCCCATTGTTCCCCTTGGAAGTATGTTACAGAACTTCACTTCTTTGGGATAGAAACCTTTGTCTAATTTTAAATATAAGCTTATTGCTAGCCAATTTATAACCGTTTGTTCTTGTGCCCACTTTGGACCTTTCTTGGTGTTTTTGTCACGTACTTATTTAGAGAACAATCATATCTCTTCTCATCCTTTGGTTAGGTTAAACAAGTCAGATCCATAAGTATTCTCTCACAAGATTCCTATGATCATGCTAGTAGCCCTTCTGCATCTATTCCAGTTTGAATTAATCTTTCTTCAACATGGGAGACCAGAATTTTACATAGTGTTCCAAATGATGTATCACTAGTGCCAGGTCCAGTGTTACTAATGTATCACTACTGGAAATGCCTCACCTGATGTATTCTAGGATTGTATGAGCTTTTTCATGGCCACTTCACATTAGTAGTTCATAGCTGTTCTGTGGTAGGTCTTGGTGTATTGGTTGTGCTCCCCCTCTGTTGTTTACAATTTATAATTCCCCAATTTTATAGCAGAAATTGTTGTTAATCCCAATGGGTGCATCTACACTGCCCCCTTAGCTTGGAATAAGATAAGCAATTCGAGCGACTCAAATTGCGTATCTTATTTTGATCTAATTTTGAAATAGCTTATTTTGAAATTTGGCCCTGTCTACATAGAGCCAAATTTTGAAATAAACTGCTATTCTGAAATGTCCTTTAACCTTGTAGAATGAGGGTTACAGGGACGTTGGAATAGCGAGCCTGTTATTTTGAAACAATAGGTTAGTTTAAAAGACACGGAATAGCTATTTCCCAAAATAGAGCTGCAGTCTAGATGTACCCTAAGTGAATGACCTTGTACTTTTTTATTATTTCATCCTATTTCTTTTACTCCAGTTTTCAAGGTCATCTGTATCTCCTTACATGATATTCTTTGTGCTTTCCCTATTGTTTGAGGTGAGACTAGACTTCTCTTGCTAACAGGCTTTGTCTCTGTGCTTGAAAATGAGTACATTCTTAACTTCCTTAATCTCTGCAGAAGCTCTTTGGTGGAAATGCAAAGTCGTCACGGAGCCAGAGCATCATTGGATCATGATCATTCACCTCATCTTGTACAAAGAGGTAAATTTATAGAGGACAATTGTTAATGGGATCATATCCTGGGCTTGGTCCTCCTGTGCCCAGTATAAGACTGTTTTGCACTGCTGCCAGGCCAATCAAGTGGCACAATACTGAGCATTCTCAGGAGTGTTCTGTCTTTGTCCAGCATCCTGTAGGGCCTTTTTATAACTGAGAGTAGCCCAGCAATTGCAACTTCCTACCTACTATCCCCAGAAGTACCGTCTGGCATCTTCTATGAGAACTAAATTTACATTTTCACAAAAGAGTGAAAATCTAGTTGAACATAATAGGTCAGTGGTCCCCAAACTTTGGAGGTTGCCGGGCGGCAGGGGGCATGGCCGTTCGCTCACCGGGGGCGGGGCCCCCCATAGCAGCGCGCCCGGGGGCGGGGCCACCTCCAAGAGCCGCGCGCCCAGGGCCGGCACCCCCCCCAAGTGTC